AACCGATTAAAACCGATTAAAACGGATTATGTTTTAATCGGTTTTAATCGACCATTTTCGGCAGGGTTTAGAGATATCTATGAAGAGATATCATAAAGAGTTCTTCTGAAAGATATCTTACAAAAAGATAACTTACTGATATCATTTCTAAAAAAATTTAATTAAGTCTTTAAAAAGTCCTCTTAAAGAGCTCATCCTCTCAATAATACTCACTGGGAAGAAACTGCAAGGCAGAAAGAACCGTAAAATATGGGTACGGCTATTTTTACTGAGACAAGAAGACTTCTTCAAGGTGACAGCGACAATCTACTTGTGGAGATGCAATTGGGAGATCCTGAAAAATATTTCAACTATCTCAGAATGTCTCCAAAAATAACAAGCTACTATGTTTATTAAGTACTAAAAAGCATTCAAATACTTACAGGACCATCCATTTATAAAGTTTTTATATTTTCTATACACTTTTGTTGAGTTTTGTTGAGACGGTAACGGATTCCGCGGATTCCGCTCAAATGTGCGGAAAGAAACGACTCAATTCGCGGAAACGCGGAATAGTTACTTTTCTAGTTACAATTCTCTTCCGTGTTTCCGCGTTTCCGCGCTCCATGTAATGGCACCCTTAGGCCGGATTCACACCTTGGCAGAAAAGCAGAAAAGCAGAAGCCAATCAGAATTCGTGCTAGAAAAGCAGAAGCCAATCAGAACTCGCGCTGAAAATAAGCAGTACATTCTGCTTTTTTAGCGCGAGTTCTGATTGGCCTCTGCTTTTCTGCCAAGGTGTAAATCCGGCCTAAGCGTGCTAATAGCGGAACAATTTATCAGCACTGCCAGTACTGGCAGTGTATATCGGAACACACCCTATGTTTACAGCATAGTTTATGGTCGCCTTGCGAATATTCGTTGTAGCGATGAACACGAGATGGCGGGTCGGATGTGGCGCGAGCCACATTTCGCGGCGGGTGGTTCGATAAAAATCAGTCGTCGCTCGTCGCGTCGTCGCGTCGTCGCTGGTCATCGTTTGAACGATTCGTTCGCAAGTTGCTTTGACAGCATTTTGTCGATAGTGCGGTATCTTGGTATAGCGTGTCGCGCTACACATTCGTGATCTCTTTAAACGAGTCGCGATCTGGAGTAACGGTGAGTTTCTGCAGTTTTTGTTACGCTCGCGATTGGTTCCCTTCTCGTTCCGCGTTACGCTAATCCGCGTTTCCGCGCTCCATGTAATGGCACCCTAAGGCCGGATTCACACCTTGGCAGAAAAGCAGAAAGCAGAAGCCAATCAGAACTCGTACTAGAAAAGCAAAAGCCAATCAGAACTCGCGCTGAATATAAGCAGTAAATTCTGCTTTTTTAGCGCGAGTTCTGATTGGCCTCTGCTTTTCTGCTTTTCTGCCAGGGTGTGAATCCGGCCTAAGCGTGCTAATAGCGGAACAATTTTTCAGCACTGCCAGTATTGGCAGTGTATATCGTAACACACCCTATGTTTACAGCATAGTTCATGGTCGCCTTGCGAATATTCGTTGTAGCGATGAACACGAGATGGCGGGTCGGATGTGGCGCGAGCCACATTTCGCGGCGGGTGGTTCGATAAAAATCAGTCGTCGCTCGTCGCGTCGTCGCGTCGTCGCTGGTCATCGTTTGAACGATTCGTTCGCAAGTTGCTTTGACAGCATTTTGTCGATAGTGCGGTATCTTGGTATAGCGTGTCGCGCTACACATTCGTGATCTCTTTAAACGAGTCGCGATCTGGAGTAACGGTGAGTAGTAATACTGTGAGTTTCCTTAAGAAGGCTCCTACATTTCCTCGTCGTTTCCTCGGCGAACTAGGACGCGGAACGGGATCTCAGCTGGTTGCTGTACAGTCTCACGACAAGTGGCTTTGTCGCTATAGTATATGGTATAACGACTCGGAAGTGATTTGCCGCGTATTTCTCGGCCCATGGAAAAATCAGCTAGCCGGCCAAACCAAGGTTAGGCTGACGATGACACTTTCGCGGCCGCGTTTTGTCTCCTCTCGCCTCGCCTTGCCTCGCCTCGCTTCGCCTCGCCTCGCCTCGCCTCGCCTCGCCTTGCCTTGCCTTGCCTTGCCTTGCATCGCATCGCGTCGCGTCGCATCGCGTCGCATCGCATCACGACGAGCCCTTTCGCGGCCCTTTTATCTCGCTCGTTTTCTCTACAAAGGCTACAAAGAAAATCGTAAAGCTGAAATTTTATCTTATACATCGCAATAATCGGAGCGCGACGCGCATCTATGAAATTTATAACATTATCAATGGTTTACACTTCTATCAGCGTCAAGTCTCACTTTTTAATACGGTGCAGACATTTTTGTTCTTAAATTGCCATTACATTACAAGCTTTTATAAACAGTGACAGCGAATGATTTTAATAAAAAGAATAACGGTGTTTTTTTACTGCATAATAAAAAAACTTGAGAAATAGGCGAATGTTTTATGTATGAGTGTTGAAATTTTTACAATATTATAGTATTTTTCGTATTTTTGCGAGAATCTTAAATAACATAAATTCGCGTTATTTTTAATACCTTTATTCGTATATAACTTTGGTATCTTTTCATTAAATGCAAACTTTACATTTTAATTTTTTAATATTATTGGAAATTTGCTACAAATTCAATTTTCACGCTTTAACAAGGAATCTCGAACATCATTATAGTGATAACTTATCCATTTATTTGAAGAGCCATTGGAAAAATCGAATAGAAAGTCTTCTACAATTTAATGCAATGTCTAGAAAATTTATTCTATCCGTAAAATATATATACAAGCCTTTCATATGACTGTACGCATGCGAATTTGGCTCGGGGAACTTCAATCTGGTGTTTCGAGGTGCTTTAATTTCCGTTCGACTGTTGAGGCAATATAATTTTATAGTCTCGTTATAAGGCGATCTTTTCTCTCCGATGATGATTAGCGCGCAAATCTACTCCCCTGTCGATCAAGATAAAGAGAAACGAGTCATGACTCGCGACACAGCACAGGGGCGTTGCCCTCTCGCCATCGGTTGCACGTCCGGGTGTATCTTTCATTTGGGGTGCATTCTCAAAAATGGGGAAGAAATAAGAAATCGTACTCGAGAATGCGAGTATACGTATAAAAATGCATGTATAGTACACGCTTTACGTGCATCGCGTCGGCGACTTGATCGATCCACATCTCTTTCGTTATGCTACACGCGATATATATTTATGCGTGAAAACAATGATAGTGCAGTGCGTGTGACACGAGAGTTCGAGAAACACACATTTTTGATCCTATAAAAAATGTGGGTGAATCCAAACGCAATATTATACATACAACAAATTGTACATACAATTTTCAATTTTAAGAGCATTCGTAGTTGCGTTTTAAAAATTATTCGCCGCATAAATTGTGTCATGATTAAAGTAGCTCGCGTTATAAGAGTATAGCTAGAGCCTTTTACTGAAATTTCAGACTCATTTTCAATTAGTGCCATTTTAAACAAATAAACAAACTTTTATTAATAATATAAATAATATGAATTTTCCCAATTATAGGAAACAAATTAATTACGAAAAGTTATCATCGCATACGTGGGACATCATATAGAAACGTCACACATATACGTCGCATGATAGCGAACGTGCAAACGGAAAGAAGAACGTGATGCAGAGAAATTGAATTTACCAGAGTTGAAAAAAGCTTCGACTTTCAACGTGAGAAAATATAGAATTTTTCTAGACATCTTCTTCTCTCAAATAATTTCCTTACTGGTAAGCACAAAAAGTCTTTTTATTTTTCATCCAATTTTTTTATTAATCCTTCTTTAATTGTATACAGAAGATGCACAATTGTCGCATAAATACGGAATATTTAATCTTTATGGGATATTTGACGAATGGTCTGAAGCTGAATCGAAAAGTTTATTTATAAAATTTTTGAAACCCATTCTTTTAAGAGATAGCGATGATATATAATGCATCGGATATTTTATCATAAATTTTCCATAACTATGGAACACGCGCGTAATATTAACATTTTTGAAATATAAAATTAAAAAATAAATACTCTGCGCGAAGGAGGAACGCGAGCGAGGCATCTGGCATGACGGATGTATGTATGTTTTATTTCGCATCTTTCCCCGGGTTGTCACATACACATTTCTCTATTATTTTTTTTCCCATTCGCATTTGGCACCGGCAATGCACACCACGTGTGTGGTAGACTGGATGTGTGTGTGTGTGTGTGTATGTGTGTATGTGATCGGATCTCTCTCCGGGAGAGATATGTCGTGTTTGCGTACGTGCGCACATCCGTGAATTTGCATGACGCAAAGGGACAATGAGAGCTATAACAAACTAGTGCGAATTAATAATTCCCAACTATTGCAATGATTATTACAATTATACTATTATTGCAGAAAGATAATTGTTTGAAAGATTTCGTATCGAAAAGCGGCTTTGAATAATTTTGTACTACCTCACTTGAAACAATTTTTAGAATGATTTTGACCGATCGATATTTTGCGCGGGACATTACATTTTGAAAATTGTACACACAGATAGGCAGAGAGAGAGAGAGAGAGAGAGAGAGAGAGAGAGATTTTTTACAAATACGCATATTATATATGCACTATGTACATATATCGTGTTGCGGCAGCGTAACGAAGAGCGCGAACGCCAAAGAAGAGGGGAGAAAATAACGAAACGGAAAGAGACAGCAGTGAGTGTTGTGCACATTGAAAGGGCAGGCTGGGGCTGCGATTCGAATGTCGCGTCTCTCTACTATTATGCCGGATCTTGTTCGTTAAGTCATGGGCGAGCGCAAAAAAGCGCCGACCAAGTCAACTCCCCCAGACTTTCTTTTAAAAAAATATATGTAGCAAGAGAAATTGGAATTTGATTATATCCATCTTCTCTTTTATCTCTTTGGTATACAATTGCATTTATTTCTATTATTTTTTAATTTTTCATTGGTTGCATAAAAATAAATCTTTTTATTAGGTAATCGTAAGCTGTGGATTCCATGCAGCGAACTGACAATTGCAAGTCCTGCATGAACGATACTTTGCGTCAGACGCCTACACCTACATACACTCGAACACGTTCTTCTACTTGAGAGAAATACGAGGGAAAAAAAGTACATATAGTTTACGAAACAAAATTAGATGAGAAAAGAATATCATAGTTGTGAGTAGGAAATTGTTTATTCAATGTAGTGTTGTAGACACGCGGTATGTAATCAAAAGACACGGTATTGTCTCGCGCCAAGTTCAGGCGCAGCAATAGCGAGGCACCCTGTGTACCATGCAACACATTAAATTAAAAATTCATTATTACTTCTAACGCATTCAAAAGATGCTATATCTAAATTGCAATGTCTTTCAAAAGAGTGAAACATATTCACGTATAAAAAAAATTTTTATTAAAAAACTTGGCACTGCTGAATTAAAAATGTAACAAATATATTAGTTTGATTAGCATATGTTTAGCAGCGTCAAGTTTTCTTAATTAAAAATTTTTTTATTCTTAAATATGTTTTACTATTTTAAAACAAATTGCACTTTAGATATAGCATTTTTTTATGGAAGTAACAATAAGTAAATTTTGTAGCATAAGTTTTTATTAATTGGCGCGCAATTTTTCAATATCACTATTTTTTGTAGAAAATTAAAGCAACTATTTTGTACTACAGTTTTTAGTTTGGGTAAAATAACATTATATTACATAAGAATTTTTTACATTTGTCGCGTACACTTGGCGCCTTTTTTTCTTTTTATTTTTTTTTAAGTAAAGTATTCAATAAACAAATAAATAAAACTTTCTATATGAAATCGTAGCGAATAATCGTATACAACATTCCTTTGCGACATTTGTGCGCTAGTCATTTCGAATCTATGAATGGCAGCTATTCATCCCGTTTACGTTCTTATCATTCGATAATAGTCGATACAGCATACAGCAGCAACACTCGCACGGTTTGTTACTACGTACCGCGCCTTTCGCAAATGAAAGGCTCGTCTCTTTTCTTTTTCATGCTCTTTTTTTTTCAGAAGCGAATCTTTAACACAATTTTTTCAATTGTGCATAATACGGGAGAATATACTCTTTCCTCGCAAAATATCAATGTATGGATAAAAACGAGATTAACGTAAGATAATCCACGTTTTATTACATTGATTTTTCAGCATTACCATGTTAATAACGCTAGCTGTGTTTAGCGGTAAAAAAAATCACTGTTGGGTTTCCTCGGAAATTGTGCATCGTGCATGAAATCACACGCAATCACGCGTGACGTGCAGCGCATTAGAGCGATCGGATCGACTTCGCGATATCCTGGCGTTCGTTTTAAGGTTACGAGAACTCTTCGAATTAGGTCAAAAGGCAGAGCTTGCAAACTCTCCGTCAATATACGAGTACATAGTATTTGAAATACTCTCGAACATCGCGAATATTCTTTCGCGTTCCGCGTTCTACCACCTCTGCTATTCTCTATCGCGGCATTCATCGACTTTTTTCGAAAGAAAAAATACTTTTCCGAGAAAACATTTAATGAAAATTATTCTCAAGTTATCTTTATCACCTTATTTTTCTCTTTATTCAAAATAAAATAAATGATATTGTTGTTGAAAAAAATAAATAAAACTCTATTTCCCCTATGTATTGTAAAAGAAAAAGGAAAATCTACGAAATATGTACAAGTTTATGTATAATATTGCTGGCAATACACACACACACACACACACACACACATTTGTGATGGCGATGTAGCCATCACACGATGTAACTTCTTCCGAACCGGAACGACAACACAAACCCATAACTCTACCAGATGTCCGTCTATTAAAGTTTTCATTTTTAACACTTTATGATTTTTATGAAACGAATAATGACGGACACGATGAAGCAAGTTCGGAGCAGCCGGTTTTGTTTCATCTCTTCGGAAACGTCCGCTGCGGATACTAAATGTACCGGGTCAAGTGCTATAGAAATAATTTCGATCGAAGAGCCCATATCGCACGAAAATAAATCCCGTTCATGATATTTCGCTTGTGCCCTTAATTAACAGAAATATGTGAATTTTTTATTAGTCCTTTTTAGCCTATTGTTATATGAAATCAAAACGCTTTGGAAATATTTTGCAAATTTTCGTATGTGTCGTACTCGTGTTACATCTCTCTCGTGAGCTATTTACATAAGAGTACCGTATCATTGTAGATATAAAAAAGAGGAGAAAAAGGCGGCGCGACGCGACATAAACCGCATGAGAGCGAACGTAATTTAAAACATACGCGATGGCGTATACATACATATAGCGGCAAGAAGAGTGGAATGTTCAGAATCTTAAACGTTTAATGGAACATAATCGGTTAATAGGTCTCGCACATTCAGCCAAAGCCAAAGCCGACTAGGTATCGCACGCCGCACACACGCGACGAATGACGACGCGTATCGTCCCTCGCATTCTGCTCACTCTTGCTCCCGGATATTTTTATCGTCCCTATAAAACTCTATATGTATTCTGTCTAGCCTTTTCCCGTTGCACACGGCTTTGATCGCTGCATTGAAGCATTTCCTCCTTCAAGTTCCATATTCGATTTAAAAAAAAACTACTCTTGCTAATGCGTTTTAAATCTCAATTGTCTCTCATATATGTGTGTTATTGTACTATAATTTTGTAATTTTATTTGTGTATATGAATTGTATGTACCCTATCGAGAAATTGTATATTTTTTGAATATTTCTTTGAATAATTTATATAAATAGCATTTTTTATATCAATTAATATGTAAAATAATATCTTTTACGTAGTTTAATGTGTAAAATTGAACATTTTAACTTTAATTTTAAAGTAAAATACGCGGGACATGAATTTTTCATCTTCATTTTGTCTTTCTAATAAAATTGCATCTCTCTCTCGTAGACAGATTCATAAACGATCTGAATTAGATGGCCGTTTTTTGGTTCTTGACGTGATTCAAACGATTCTTCTCACGTTTGATTTGCAGCGTAGAATGATAAATGGTGGCCACCAGCAGCATGGTATATGAGGAGATAGTTGGTATACGGGGCAGCTGACCCCAGCCACCGCGCACGCTTTTCACGCGCGAGATGCCCCACAATCTAAACTCAGTTTCCGCCAATTCCGCCAACACAGGACCGAATCATCAAGCCTATCCTCAGCAGCCGCATCATCGAGAGAACGCAGATGGACTCCAACCCGAGGTAACGCAAAAATAAAAATGGTTCGGAGAGAGATTTGTGACACATCTGCTACCAAATATCTTTTTATCTAGTCATGAAAAGTCATTAAAAAATTGGAATATTGAAATATTTGTGTATAAATTATAAATATATAATTAATTAGAAATTCAATTTTGTAAGCTATTTGTTCAGACAACGTGTATTAATTTAATGTGTATCGATATTTATTCACACGGCCATCTAGACTAGAATAAATAAAATTTTTTTTCGCTTTTGAAATCGCATCCAGTATGATAGAATGATGTACAGATTGTAAAATTGTTACAATGCTGTGTGCTGTGTGCTCGATATAAAAAATCAAAATCAAATTTAATATAAAAAATATAAAATAACTCAAAATATAAAATCAAATAAAAATAAATATATATATAATGAAAAAAGAAAAGTAGCGCCACTTTATTCCCCTCTATTAAACTTTATTAAACTCTAACATAATCGTCGTTTTTTAGAAAGAACCGGTGGAATTCGACATTTCGCATTTGCGAGGTGCTCCAGCGGAAGTCGAGACATTGGTACACAACATCAAGGAGGTGGCCCAGCAATTTCTCTATCACTGGCGAACTTTCCCCATCGTTCTGCCACCGCCATTATCCTCGTGCACGGAGGGTGATGATACGTTGGCGCGAAAGAAATACCATCTGAGGGATCTTTTTGTGGCACCCAGCTTCGACGAGCTGGACGCCGTTGCAGTAGACAGCAAGGGCGAACCAAGAAGACTGACCAACAAACAACTGGAGAGCATCAGGGAGCGAGGGTAGATTTTTTTCTCTTATATGTGGATATCTTACAATCTCCCATTTTTAACAATTGTGTTAGCTAGTCGTAATTTTGTATAATTATACATTACATTGCGTAGCGGCAGTAGATATATAGGCAGTAGAGAAAGATGTTGTATAGCGTAGTAATGGGTAAAACAAGAATACATATATAATCCGCGTTGGAATAAATCATTAAATCTATTGATTTGACGATTGATAAATAGCGATATTCGGAAAACAATGAGCAAATGTGAATTTTGAAACAACATGTATCAATATATCTCGCTTGCATTTTCAATGAATAAGATATACGCAGAGTATCTCTCTCTCTCTCTCTCTTTCTCTCTCTCTGTGCCGGATAAATAAAGCGATCCTTTTGCTTCTCTGCGTGTATGTGTCTGATATATGCTCTATGTAAAGCTAAAGATGTTGTATAGCGTAGTAATGGGTAAAACAAGAATACATATATAATCCGCGTTGGAATAAATCATTAAATCTATTGATTTGACGATTGATAAATAGCGATATTCGGAAAACAATGAGCAAATGTGAATTTTGAAACAACATGTATCAATATATCTCGCTTGCATTTTCAATGAATAAGATATACGCAGAGTATCTCTCTCTCTCTCTCTTTCTCTCTCTCTGTGCCGGATAAATAAAGCGATCCTTTTGCTTCTCTGCGTGTATGTGTCTGATATATGCTCTAACGATTTCTGTAAAGCTTACACAAGGATAAATATGGAAAGCCGAAGAAGCTAAATGCCACTCAATTGGAAAGCATTCGAAGATGCGGGTACGTGTGACACATTAGCGACACACACAATATTTGAAAAATATGTTAAAAAATGTTAAAAATGGTTTAAACAAATAAGTCGATAGATATTTCTCTCGCGCAAAAAATTGTCGTGTTCACAGCATGATCTTTTATTCGCATTGCAATTTATCCTAAATGTTCATTTGTGATGCGTTGGAGAGATAAATGAAATAAATTATTTATATAATTCTTTGCGCGATTGAAATTGGAGATTGATGTAAGATTGAACGTGCGTAATCATCATACAATTGTCGCACGACACTCAATTTGTAAATTATATATTTCTAGCTGTTATTTATATTATTAGTTTAGATTTTTTGTTTGTAATACATAATCATTGTACGAAAGAATCATGAGCTTTAGCGTGAATCGCTATAGTCGATTATAATTATATATCGAATATATGTAATTCTCAGTATAGATGCTACCAAAGTAGTATCTTTGATTAAACTAGGAAACGAATAGATGTTACATCGCTATGTAAAAATAGTTTTGTAATGGTAAAAGGTGTTATCTTTACTTTGTGTATATTACAACATATTCGTATAAGTAAACTATTGTTCTGTAAAATACCAACGCTTTGTACGATTCTGATCGGAAAATTTATCAGTGGTTAACCAAGTATTCTTCTTGCAGAGAGTTCGAAGTGGACTCGATCAACTTTGCCGGACAGACACACCGATGGCGACTGAGCGGTCTTCTGCAGCGCGGCCGAGATAGGCGGCGAGACACGTTACTCACGGATCTCGCCCTGGCGACTAGATTTCTTGTTGTAACGGCAAGGGCTAGATTAATTTCCCATTGCTTTAGTGTCTCACAATCCCTTAAGGCCCTAATAACGGGGCTGTTACGACTTCTCGGTGAGCAGTCTGCGTCCTTCTTGCGCTTTTATGCATATGCGCGCGCGTTGTATGTAATGCGCGTTGTATGACGTTTAAACGTCACATATCCGCATTATCGACGCTGCATTACATACATATCTATGTATATTATACATATCTATGCTATACATATATAGCATATATGTATTTTGCAGATATTATAATTGGCGTCCCATCGCTTCAGGCGCATAATTTAGATGCTAAAATTAGGGAAGAACGTTGTCGGTACTTGGTAGCGGAATTGGTCTGTCGGGTAAGATATTATTACATATTTTTATATTTTTGCAAAATTTTGCAGTGTCTTCAATATGTAAACTTGAACTTTGGCATTTTCACTATGTCATTACAGCCGGAATATGAGGATTCTCTGGAACTACTCTGTGGATTCATAAAGAAACAACTTCGTCGGGCAACTACTGAAAAGTTTGAAGTAGAAAGAGAATCGTCCCAGCTATTACCTGTTTCGATCCCTTTTGTATTTGGGACACCCGGTGGGGCCGCGGTCGATCTCCGACTATTCAGCAGGGACATAATTAGGAAGGCTCTGCCGACGCTTGTTGCAATTTTGGAGAGAGAGACAAGAGGCTGGTTCCTTCACTTTAGAGAAAGACTGATATCTGAATTGAGAGCACAAAAGAAACCGGATGAGGAAATAGAACGAGTAAGAAATTTTTGCATTAAAGATCAACGCCTAACTATTTGCGCTTAAAAGAAAAATTACACAATTATAAATTTACTATATTTTATATATTTTTGTGTAATAAATAAAGCAATATGTTTAACATACGTCAATATCGATATTTTTAGGAAGTTAATGAAGCGGTGATGCGCGAATATCTGCAAAGAGTATACACGAATATCCTATCGCATCCAGACATACTCGCATTAGGCGACGGTATTGCTCAGCTGCTGGTTCAACAGGCGCAATCGGTCGTGCTGATGCATCGAGCAGTGGAGAACATGCAACGGAAACTATCGCAAACCAAAGATTCTCTACGACGTCGCATTGAGAACGAGCATCCGGTTTTGTCGCGAATACAGCCATGGATGCGCGATCGTATGCGGGAGGCCGAGGAGAATTTTATCGAGGAGTGCGAATGGAGCGCGCATGAGGAAGCTCTGACGCTCTGCAATCATCAGAATCTCACGCAAACGATTTACTTCCTTAATCGTGATTTAACCTTTATGAAAGAGGTATATAATAAAATGCTTAATTTTAATCATGTTTTTTGTTTTGTTGACGATTTATTAGAAATTTTTGTTGAATTTATCCATTTCTCAGAGAGAGCCAGTTCTCCTGAAAGAACTGCGAAAGGTCAAAACCCCGACGAGGACTTTCCAATGGCCAACGCAAATCTGGCTACCAAAGAACTGGATAATAAGACGTAACTTTCAAGGTCAATCAGAAATCATTCCGACCGTATTGAGCAACACTCCGACTTCTATTACAACACCTCGCGCTGATCCCAGTCAGCCCGTCTTTTTAGTCGAAAGAGAAATTGTACATACAACTACAACAAGGTATTTGAATCAATTCATAAAAGTATTATCCAGATCCTAATGTTTGGTCTTGTAATAATATCGCGATATAATAGATGGCCGATGTGGCGCTGGATAAATTACATCGCCAGAACGTGGTGTTGGACTTGGAATGCAATGTTTTTATTGGGCGTAGCCGTACCGTGGTGTAGTCCAGTGTCTTTTCGCGCTTTATTGTTGGTGCAATCGTTTACCCCCGATCTGGAATTGAGTCAATTGAACGGAACATTGTTCCCGAGAAAGTCATCGCAGATGCCTACTCTTTGTTCTCGATTAATAGCGCTTTGGAGGCACATCAGTAAAAGTCGAACACATTTTGAAACTGAACCAGACACAGGTAAATACAATCTCAATCACACTCTTATAAAACATATTTTGTAACTACATTTCTTTATCCATTTTGACCGGCACAATTATAAGAATCAGCAACTCATACACAATATTAAGAAAAAATATTACTAGTATCACTAACAATAATAATATTAACAATAATAATAATGATAATGATATCCCTTCTCCTCTCTCTCTCTCTCTCTTAGGATTTATCGGCAAAGGTATGACTCGACATTTAAATAGACTATGGAATTATGGTGTAAAGGGTCTATTGGGCACGATTATCATACTATTTATATTTCCCGTGGTGTGTATTATGGCGAGTGTCGGCTCGCTGATGGTTGCTCTCACCGCAGTCTTATGGTTAGTTTCATGCGCGATAATTTTCCGTTTGTTGCGGTTTCTTTTTCTTTTTTTCTCTTTTTTTCTTTTCTTTCTTTCTTTCTTTTTTTTTTTTTTTAGCGCGATTAAATTCGACTCTTCCGTTTTGTCAGGATGCCTTTAGTCACACTGACGCTGCATGCGTTCATGGCGCTTATCATGGATCTGGATAGCCCCGAACCGAGCCGCAATCGATATTTCGTGGTGGTGGAAGCATTACTCTGGAACATAGGTATTCAAGGATGTCTACAACCAATAGTGGCATTATTCGTAGCCTTTGTTCTGTGCCCAGTCATTTCATTCGTGATACTTACAAGTAAATAAAATGCTGAATTTAGTAAAGAATACACAAAAAATGATATGTGCTTATATCGAAAAATAATCCTATTTCGTAGTTGCTGTGATACGTTACTGGGTCAGAGTGCTCTGGGATACAGCCATGTTCCATCTAGTGATCAAAAACAGAGGTCGGATACCGGCCAGCGATAGTTTTGTTGTAAAGAGAATAGCTGGACCGGGATTAGCTTCGGATTATTATTATCAAGTGAGTTATTGCTTCTTTGTAGGCATCGTATAATGCCCGGCAATGTATAAAATTTGTAATACTGAAATTATATTTTCGTCAGATAAGAGCGGAACAAGCATTGGCCGCATTTGAAGCGAAGTTAGAACTAGATGAATTGCTAGCCTTCCAGCAAGAAATCGAGAGATTAATTACACAACCGCAAAGAGATTTTACTCAATTTGTCGAAGCCTGTTTCGGTCCGTTTGCCGCTAGTCTCGCAAAGACAAAGGATCCATACAAATCACTCGAGAAAGAAGCCAAAGATTTAATTGCCGTATTACACGAGAAATTGGATCGACGAAGAAAGAATTTGCAGACAGGTCTCGGCGTCGCGGTGAGGAGTAAAATAAAATTAACTACTTTTGACTTGAAGGTAATTATTTTTCGTAAAATTCTTTGCGTGTGTGATTCTACATTTATTTTCTGCATAAATATATATGCATGTGCATAATCTAGTTATAATATTGCTAAAATAAAATTGTAGGTGGTCATACAGCAAGGAGCATTGATGCTAGAACGTCTATATCCCACTCATGTTTTGGCGAGATTGTCTGGCAATGAGGAAGATTTTTGGGAAAATAAAGGTTTAGGGGTATGTGACTGGGCAGGCTTGGCAGGGCTTATGTACGCCGACATTTTTAGTCTGGATTTTCTACAACCACTCGACGATTCCGACACTAAATTCAGATTAGAACCACACTCAGGGGTTGATCTGTCGCGATACACGGACATGGTCCACAGTACTGAGCTAGGTGGCATCAACGGGCCTGATTTGCTTGGCGCTGTTTACGCACCACGTGGGAATATTCAAGTGCATAGCCCATATCTTGAGGTATCTGCTTTCAATCCGCGAGCTAAGCAAACCAGCAACAGCAGAAAGGCTGACAAGCGATGGTAATGATCTTTTTTGAATTGATTTATTTAGTTGAATCGTCAAGTTTCTTAAAAATAAGCGCGATTTTTCACAGTGATACTAGCGGACTATTGACATCGACAAAAATCCGAAGACACACAATGACAAACGACAATAGTTCCGAAGGACGGTGGCAACCGTGGAAACGCCAGATTCGTCCATACAGTGCAGAGAAGCTAGTGATTCCTCTACCGATACCGCATCCGGCCCATATAGCGGTAACTATACATAACCGCGACTCTGAGGATCCGATAACTCTTGATTCGGAACTATGTCAAAATATTTTACGAGCCATTGAGGAATCTCCCGGTGAGATGGCAACAGAATGCGTAAATCGATACAGAGGCGGCGGCGACGGCGGAGGTGGTGATTCTAGTTTCGATTCCGTCGCGTCACAATCATCTGTCTCGATCGAGACTGGTTTGGAGAAGGAGAACGAGACAACGCAGGAGACTGCCGTGGCAAACGAAAAAAATGGCGAGACTTATCATTGGACTCTGTCGAATTGGGGCGGTGGCATGACGCGAAAACGAAACAACTCTGGATCTATAAAGGTTGATCTAGCGTCTCCGGAAGATGTTACTCTCGATACAGATACCACCAGAGTGATGTTCAGCACGTACGGAACAACCGTTTGAATTAAATTCGCCATTATATCGAAATGGTTCTTTCGTCGTCGTCGTCGTCGTCGTGTTTATAAATGATATATAAAGAAAAAGAGAGCTGCAACTATAGATTTGAACCCAATCTTAGAGAACAGCCTTTGTCATCCAAGATGATATCCATATATTAAAAAATTGCATTATTCACTTTCAACTAAAAGCAATAGGGATTCTTAATCAGTATGCAAACTAAGCATTTATCGAAAAATTTTAATTGGTTTTAATAAAAAATGTAAATTTGGAATGTTTATAACAAGATATCTTTCAAGAGAGAACATATTTATGGATCAATTATCATGTAAGTATGTGCTGTCTTTTGTAAATTCTGTTATATATCCAGATTTTGTTTAAAAATCCATTACACGCTAATATTATTTGTCAAATTTGTTCGCTCAATACCAAAGTTTATATAAGAAATTTTAATTGGCGCTTTTCAGTTTATTTTCTTAGAATAGATCCAAATAACGATAGACAAATATGATTCTTTGGACACTGGTACAAGTGCTAAAGAAAAGTTTTTATATGCTTTTTAATATTTTTCTATTTCAGTAATAAATCTAATTTTGACCTTTACTCACACTGTTACTCCTCAGCCAATATCGATTACCTAAATAATTACCTAAATGATTTACCAAGTAAATTTCGTGCCCTGTGCACATAATCAGTTTTTAAAGAAAACTTATTTTTCTATGAAACTGACGCACTACCATTCGCGTATGGCTCTTACTAGCCCGCGATTATTTAAAATTTGTGATTTCACATGAGAGCCTTATAGCGTCTTCCATTGAGAAAATCGCAGCACTGAATGCTTGAAGCGTATATCATTGGTAATATTAAAGAATTGCATTATTTATTGGACATGGAAGGAGTGTAGTACAAATACTTTTTAGCATGTATACCAGTGTCCAAAAGCTTATATTTGCTTATTGTATTATCATCGCTTGGGTTATTCATGTATTTTAACTATTGGATATATTGGTTTAATGAAAAATATAAAGTAATCCATGCAAGAGATTGAAAGAATTCTTTATTTAAAAATTATAATTTTCAAATCTTTCTTATATAAGAAAGAAAGAGAAAGAGAAAAAAAGCAAAAAATATCCCGGATAGCAGCGCAACAGATAAGACTAGCAAAGTCTCTCTTTAATATTATATTAAATAAATATATACTCATATTGATATACTGTATATAGATAGCCAATTGTATAAATAAATTTGTTAATGTAACGTTATACACACTCTCGTTATACACACTTATTTACAGATATGCGCTGAACGGCGATTCGCCGATAAAAATATATGCTTAGAATTCTATGTGCTTGTGCGATAATTATTTTATTCAAGTCGATTGTAAAATCGTCAAACTTCCATTATGAAAATAGTAATGGATGTTATCGATTATATCTCATGTTTAATTTAACAATGTACAGAGTATAAATTGAACCATATGTAATAGTTATTCTCGTATAATTTATTTCATCGAAACGAATGCGCTCTTTTAACACGTGTGTATATCTAACATTCCAGAAAATATTTTAATGTCGTACATTCAAGTCCCCCCTCCCTCGCCCTTCCTTCTCCTCCTCCTCCTCCTCCTCCTCCTCCTCCTCCTCCTCCTTTTTAATGTATGCTTTATTTTTTTAAATAAAATTACAATGGATGTTATATATATCCTCCGATATATTGTAAATCGAGATAAGCTTTAAACGGTAGCGTGCGCTACAAGTTAAAGAAACACTGCATAAAAAAGTAAATGTATTACGATTCTGTAGATATGGGAAAAAAATACATAGCGAGTTTCGGCGCGTTACGATACTATAATATATATAATAAACACCAATAGTGAGAAGCTATTTAAACTCAATAAAATTTACTGTAATACATAAAGTGCACATTCCCAATTTCGATTTAGACTTTATTACTATAGTATAGCATACAGAAATTGATTGTGAAATGACTTGCGATTATAGCTCGTAAATTATAGTCGAATTGTTTGAATAGACTTACGAAAGAACGAAACAATGATTAAATTTTGTTTAACCAATTCGCAATGCCCAAAGATTCAAACAGTTCAGTTCAGAACTTGAGGATATGTATTAGGTATAATAATTGCAATTGCCACAATATAAATAATCAGTCTTTCGATATTTGAATATATCAAACTCGCTTTCAAATTGTCCGGATAGATTGTCAGATGAAAAGATGGACTAATGTTTTATTATATGAATACGGGTATTAGAAATACGGACGTTATTAAACCCGATTAGGGGTGACGTATAAACGTAGTCATTATATCATTTCAAATTAGTCTGATTGACTGTTTGAATAATATGTGATTTGAAACTATTTAATTGCGTAAAAAAATTTCAAAACGCTGATTCTTTTTGTCCTGAGAAAATTGCTCCACTATCTTATGCATTTGCTTATGGACCAATCAATTTCCTTATGTGTGCGGCTATACAAATCTATCTGGATAGGCCTTTAAGCCCGTATCAGACTATGCATTGAGATTGAAATTTGACCAATCAGGACAAGGAAATTTTAGTTTCTTTTATCCTGATTAACAAATTTCAATCTTCAATACGTAGTCTGATACGGGCTTTAGAGATGGACACTAACGAGATACATCGGAATGCAATCTTGTTCGGTTTCTTTCGGGTAGACTCGGTTCGGCTATGACTCGTGATTGGTGGATAGTGTTTCGAGTTGCGCCGAGATTGTTGGTATCTTATCACGGAATAGGCTCTCCATCTATATATTTTATATGTCTATGACGGCGATTCAATGAAAGTGAGATTGAAAAGATCGTATATACAATTATATTTCGCAAATGCGCCTATTTTCCCCCTATTCTCTCCGTCTTATGAAAAATATTTACTTTATCGTGATACATAGTTAATAACTAAACGCAACACGAGTGATAACTTTGAATAAAATTATATAATTCTCTTTTTCTCTCGAGACTACGTGATCAATGGCGTGATCTGTCTCGATTTTTTATTTCGAAAGAGAGAGAGAGAGAAACAAAGAGAAAGAGAACTATCGATTCTCTACGCAATTTCCAAGAGAAGCAATGATAAACAATTGTACGATGACGGAAAACGAATGCGGCGGCAAATATGTGAGATATTATGCGTTATGAGCAACAATTCATTTCTATATTCCTGTCAAGATGAGAAAAAACGTAACGTCAAGAGAGACATTTTCGACTTATCTTTTATTCTCATGTTTCGATAAGTCGGCTTTTAGTTTGTTACATTCTTCGAAAGAGAAAGGAGAGTAAAAACATTGGAAATAGATAAGTAAAAGTTGCCAAAATGTTGCTTCTTTTGAGATACTTCTTCTTCTTCTTTGTTTGTTTGGCTCCGCGTTAGGTATATACCCGCCACACGGCCAGGATTCTTGCTTAAATGAGTGCTGCTATAGTATGGAGATCTGGATAGAATGCGTTATGCATGTGTGAGGAGAAGTTTTTGCTTGTTGGGGAGAAGGAGAGTCAAATTTGCAAGTTGTGTTTTCTAAGAAAGGATATGATAGGGGTAATGATTTGAGGAGAGGGTGTTTTGAGAAGATGAAAGACGTTATAGGGAGGAGGTTTTTTGAGCTTTTTCTGAATAGAGAGAAGAAGAGAATTTCTGTGATTGCTAAAGATAGGACAATACCACAGAATATGGTTAATGTCCTGAGTAGGAAACCCGCAGTCGCACGCTGAGGACGAGACAATATTACATCTAAATAGGCTGCTATTAAGACCGTAGTGATTGCTCCTGACCCTGCAGGCGACCACAATCTCCTTGCGGCTGAGATTCGTTCCGTAGAACCAAGGTTTAGTAGCAAAGGAAGAGAATAAGTCAAAATACTGCTTTCCTGTCAGTTGAGCGCGATTGAGTAGAAGTTTGGAAGTGTCAGATTGAAGATAGTGATGACAAGTGGCGTAGAAGTCGCTGAAGGGTATCGGGCAATGTAAGAGGCTGCCGAAACGGGTGGCTTTCTTAGCGAGGTGATCTGCAGTTTCATTCCCCAATATGCCCACATGAGCTGGGATCCAGATGATGGTGATATTTATATTTCGCGACCTAGCTAACCGGAGTTTGTATTTGATAGATAAAATTAAAAAGCTCTGTTTTCTGGAGAGTCTTGAGGAGATAGCTTCAACGACGCTGCGAGCGTCGGTGAAGATTGAGGCTTGAGAGATATTGTTTGAGAGAATATATTCGATACAGTAAAGTAAAGCCATGGCTTCACCTGTATAGACTGACGCAAAAGAGTCGATTTTATATAAGCGCTGTATGTTAAGGGATGGTGAGTAGAATGCGAAGCCTACGTGCAGTTCAGAGTTGATTTTGGAGGCGTCAGTATAGAATACGTCTTTGCCTTGGATCAGATGGCTGAAGTGTGGAAGGAAAAGAAGTTGTGGAATAGGTGCCTAGCGCAATTCGTCTACGAATGAAGCGGAGGTAAATTCAACGTTGGGTAGCAGGTGAACGGAGTCGTGGGCAAAATGATAAATAGGAGGGCCCTCAAAGCAGGCAATTTTAGATCTGAATTTTTTGTATAAAAGGAAAACTTTGTATAATAGAAAGCAATTAGGAACATTGTATCTGTCGTTTCTGATTAAGCTGGTTTGAAGTTCGTAAAGCTTGTCTATTACGATATGCGAAGTGTCGGCTAAGGCTTTGAGGATATACTTAGAAGTAAGAAACGTAAATCTAGTCTTCAGAGGGCTGATACAAGTTTCAGACAAGACTACGTTGCAAGGAGTGGATTGACGAAGACCGATACAAAATTTTAAAGCGCGACGTTGAACTTTTTCCAGCTTCTCCATAAGTCCCTTGTTATTGATAGGGAGAGCAAAACAGCCGTACTCCATGCTACCTCGTACAAGAGATTTGTAAATGTTGAGTAGGAGAGAGGGGCTTGCACCCCACCAGATACCGCGAAGAGAGCGGATAACGTTAGTTAGTTTAGAGCATTTGGTGACGAGAGCTTCAGTATGGATACGGCCATTGAGTTTAGAATCAAGGGTGATACCCAGAAATTTGTAGGAAGACGATGATTTTATTGTCGACCCGCAAAGGTTGATAGAATAAGAGAGAGAGCTTTTCCTATTCCTGGCAAAGACTACCAGCGCAGATTTGGTAGGGGAGATGTCCAGACCTCTAGAATTAAGGAAGGAAGCTAGTCTATTTACTGAGGATTCGAGAAGTTGAAGAGAGCGAGGTAGATTAGAAGACCCGATAAAGACGGCAGTGTCATCGGCGAATTGAATAATGTTACATTCTTTGGATACGTAGTTTTTGCATTTAGCCACGTAGATATTGAAGAGCAAAGGGCTTAAAATGGAGCCTTGAGGGACTCCTTTATAGGAAAGGTATGATTCTGTGATTTCCCCGTTGATCACGAATTGAAGCTCTCTGTAATGGATGAGGTTGTAGATGAAGAGGCATAATTTAGGGGGAAGATTCAACTCGACCAGATCACCTATGAGGATGCTGGGGATGACGTTGTCGAATGCACCGGCAATGTCAAGGAAGACACATGCGGTGGCATGGCGAGAGATAAATCCATTGTAGATTTCAGTGGTGAGGATCCCTATATTGTCTTGACAGGATTTGGCTTTCCTGAAGCCGTATTGGTTATTAGGGAGGATATGATTTTTCTCAACCCACCAGTCCAGTCTAGAAAGAATGAGTTTTTCCATGAGCTTGAGGCAGCAAGAGGTTAAGGATATGGGACGGTATTTATTAGGAGAATTTTTTGGAATGAGGAATACCAAGGAGTGGTGCCATGCATTTGGGAAGGTACCTTCTGTAAAGAGTTCGTTAAAGATATCAAGAAGGAAGGGAAAGTAGAAGTCAGGAAGTAAAGATATGTGATCGTATCCCAGCCTATCCAGGCCTGGGGATGAGCGGACTTTGAGGCTACTTATAACTGTGGCAAATTCAGAGGAGGTGAAGGGCTCGTCAAAGATCGGGCACGAATAAACGTTAGGTAGGTCATTGATAGATGGATAGAGTGCGTGTAGCGCAGAAGGAGGACATAGAGAATTAATAAGATCTCGAATGCTTTCTGACATTTCGTAATTGGATTTAGGTGGAGGAGGAGGAAGACCTAAATGTCTTTTCTTGAAGCGTTTGATCATATTCCAAATGTAGGAGATGGGTGTTTGATTAGTGCCGGTCTACAATAGTGATTTAAGCTCTAAGCCTTAAGAAATTGACTAATCACAGTCGAGTATTCTCCTCATACTTGATCGTGATTGGTCAATTTCTTAAGGCTTAGAGCTTAAATCACTATTGTAGACCGACACTTAGTCAATGATAAACAGAATGATTTCCAGCCCTTTCTTTTAGCCAATTTTAAAGTTCGTTTAGTGACGGCTTCTTGCTTTTTGAGTTATATGAAATTTTGAAAAGAGGGGTTTCGCTTGTATTGCGCTAAAGCTTTTTTCCTTTCCGCTAGTGCTTCCTCACAATCGTCGTTCCACCAAGGAGCAGGAAGGGATGTGCGCTTGGGAGAGAGGAAACAAGGAAAGAAAGAGGGAGCAGAAGAAGACAGAGAGGAGGAAGAGGATAAGGATGGAGAGCCAGGTTGGGAGTTAGGGCGGAATTTGGGATTTCGTTTGGGAAGTTGGTCAAGGATATGATTAGTGATAAGATCGTATTTTTGAACGGAGTTGAGAGAAGAAGAATTAAGGGATTCTTGAAAGGAAGGGAAAGAAGAGTGAAGCAAAGCTATAAATTGTTTTTTATCTTGTTTTTTAAGTTTAATTTTATGAGAAAAAAAGGAACGTTTTTTGATCATCAGATTAATGGCAACTGAGATGGGGAAGTGATCGCTGGTCAGGGAGTCAGGTAGGACTTCCCATGAGCAGCAATGGAGAAGGGAAGCGGAGGCAAAGGTGAGGTCAATAGCGGAGCGACTTTGATTCGGACGAGAAACGAAGGTAGGGGTACCATCGTTCAAGTACATGAAGGAGTGAGATAGAGCAGAACTCAATAGGCTAACCCCGTTGTGATCAGAACGTTCACATCCCCACTTGGTATGATGGGCGTTAAAGTCTCCCAGGATGATAGTAGAAGTGAAGGCACCGTAAAATTGAAAGAGAGCATCCCAGATACCGGCAGGAAGGAAGCCTCGGGGGTATCTATAAATAGAAACTATTAGTACTGAGCTATTGTTAAAGGGGATGATAACGGCTTGTGTATCTATATAGCCTGGAACAGAGAAGTTGTTATCTAAGAGCCTATAGGAGATTAAGTTCGATATGGCAAAGGCTAATCCGCCGGAGTTACGAATGATGGTGTCATTTCTAATAACGTTACAGTTTCTTAGCGAAAGGTATTGGGAGGGATTGAGCCATGTTTCTGAGAGAGCTTTTAAGTCGTATTCATGCAGGAAGAGTGGAGAAGGTCAATCTTGTTCATAAAAGAGTGACAGTTCCACTGTAGGATCTTGAAGGTGAAACTATGGCGTGGAGGATTACAAGTTTGCGGCGTGTGCATTGTAGAATTGGTTTAAGGAATTGTTTTCGTTGAGAGCGGATTGGAGGAGAGAGGAAATGTCATCATAGAGGCCGAAGGTTTTGAGAAAGGGAGCGAATTTTTCAACCAGGTTTAGTAGTAGTTTTAGAAGCAAAGAGAGAGAGAATTGAAAGTTTTAATTAGAGTCCGAGGAGTTAGGGGATAGAGGGGGCGATGCGGAAGAGGTTGGAGAGTAGGAGGCTGCGCCATTAAGATAAACCTGCGGCATTCGACCGTTAGGAGCTATAAAAGAGCTAGGAGGAGGAAATACGAAGCGGTTATCTGAAGTTGGAGATTTGAGAGTGTTAGGCGAACGGAGAGGAGAGATGGGAGGGTGTTTCAGAGGGGGAGGTCTTTTGGAAAGGAGCGGAGAGGAGGAGTGGCGAGGGTGTGCAGGAGGGAGAGAAGGAGGATGAGGAAGTAGGGGGATATTTAACCGTATCGGCAAAGGAAAAGGGGAAGGAAGTGGTTGATGAGGTTGGAATATTAGGGGAGGAGGCTGGGGAGAGTGGAGAATAAGGTTCATTTAGTACAGGAAAATTAGAGAAGTCGAACTGTGGATTAGTCCCAAGACCAGAGTTATTACTGCGGATGAGTCTTCTGGCTTCGATAAGAGGGATGTTTTTGGTGGCGGCTAATTCCCTGATCTGTCTTTGGATGAGACGCTCTGGACAGGAGAGGTCTTTTGAGTTGTGGGGACCCTTGCAATTTGCACAAGAGGGAGGTGAATTTATTCTTGGACAGGAAAAGCCTTCCTCGTGAGAGCGTTCGGCACAATGAGAACATCTTGGATGCCCCTTGCATTGCGTACTCGTGTGGCCATAGCGAAGGCATAAAGAGCAAATAGAAACCTTGGAGATAAAAGGAGTGACATCATACCTTACCATGCAAAAGAAAATGTATTTAGGAAGAACCTGCCCTTTAAATGTAATACAGACCGTTTTGGATGGTATATAGCTCACTGATTCCGACCCAGAGTCAGATAGAGTCAAAGCTCTTCTGTTAAGTCTCCTGACGTTGACTACGTCATATGGGCAAACGATTTCTTTTTTTGATTTCCTCTTCCGTGAATTCGAGAGGAATATTCCTGATGATACCTTATCTAGATGTTCTGAAAGATGGAATGAATGCGATTAGATTTTTGGCTTTTAGAGCCGGATTCTTAATGAGGTCATTGGCTGCTTTACGAGACTTCATTTGTACAGAAACTTTTGAAAAGCCAATTTTCTTTATTTCGACAATGTCCTGTTTTGTGGACGCACTAAGAATTCGTCCAACTGTTAGAGGATGCAACGATATGCTTGAATTAACTTCGGGTTGTACAAGGACATCAAAAGGTCCCTGACAATGGCCATCGTACCTGTTTGCCAACAGTGCATCGTTAAGAGATGTAATATTTGATAATTTTTTGGCTTTAGAGCCGACGATGGATTCCGTAACAGAATTCAAATCTGAACCGATTTGGTCTGCGGTGCGCTTTCTTTTTGGGAGGTTAGACTCACCTGAAGACGTCGATTTGTTAGGAATGTTAACAGTAGCAAGGAGACTGCCGTCCCCTACCTTGTCAGTAGCATCGCATGTAGAAAAATCCATTTTATTGTCCGAATCATAACCGTCGTTAGAAGGGGGAGGGTAAGGGGGGAAGGAACTGGTTAATGCGTTGAGAGTGTCAATATGTACTACATACGCCGTCGCTGGATTTCTCTACCAATGCGCTGCGCATGCGCGAGAAAGCGTCCCCGAGAACAACACTGATCTAAATCCCAGCACTGTCGTAGACGAAAGACCGCCAGGGTCGTGTGGCAGAGGCATGTTGAGTAAAATATTTCAGTAGTCGAGAGCCAATTAAGATGGCGGCGAACGAAGCACCGCGTGCTACGCACTGCGATGTTAACTGTTTATGCGGCGCGGGTGCACTTATTAATAATCGAAATTAAGATTCGAGCGTAAATATTTCTCTTTATGACAATAAAAGAGCTCTGAAAAGAGCTAACGGCAAACAAACTGCACATTCACTAGGCTACGTATCAATCAAGCAAAGCGCGAGCGCGAACACGTCTGACTGGTACAACGGTCGATGCCCGAATCTTCTTTTGAGATAGAGTATCGACTCTATAGGACCTTCCTCTTTTTCCGACAAGAATCAACAAGGCGTCGCATATGGGAGATTTGTATTTATCTAAAGCCAAATGTATATAAATTTCAAAAAAGGTTATAAACGAGGGCAACGATAGCTATACCGGCGATCCAGTGTCACTCGTCGCCGTCAAATTCGCGGACCAGCGGATGCCTGTTTACGCGAAACCAAAACATTAATGACCTTGAAAGACATCGCGTCACGTGAGCGTGAGGGAAGATGGCGATTGGCTGGCGAAGGCACGTATAGGGTATATTGCGTCGTGCGTGCCGCGCGTCCGCATTCCTCATCCAATAGGATTTGCGCGTATAGGGCCGAGACCGGACGGTTGGCGACGATAAGGGAAAAGGAACGACAAAACGGACTGGTGCGAGTACGAGTACAAACGAAGGCAGCGGCGACGAGGACAACGACGACGACGACGACGACGGCGACGGCGACGGGAACGGCAACCGCGACGGCAACGGTGGCAGTGGCAGTGGCGGTAACGATAGCGGGAGTGGTAGTGGTAGTGTTGCTGGTGGTGACAGCGACGAGGACGACGACGACGAAGACGAAGACGAAGAAGACAACAACAACAACGACGACGACGACGACGACGACAGCAGCGGCAGCGGCGGCGGCGGCGGCGGCGGCGGTGGCGGTGACGGCGAGGACGACAATCGAGACGGTGCGCCGTGCTGGACGGTGGAGTACACCGTACGTGTTAGTGCGTGTGTTCGTGCGCGAGCGCGGTTGGTCGGCTCGCGTTGTTGTATCCAAGATGAAGTCCGACTCGAAACCTTTGTTGACAGCTCAGGCGGAAAAGGCAAATCATTACACGTAAGTAGCGCCCGCTGTTCGGACCGGGCCGCGTGTCCAAGTGAGATCAGTGAGATAACTCGAGCGGAGGAACGCGGTACATGTCGCGCGCACTGTGCATAGATATCTGTTGCCGTATATCGGGAGAAAAAATATAGCGAACGAGCGAATGTGTTGCTGTATATAGGAAAAAAAAAGATAGAGAGCGAGCGAATGTGAGAGAGAGAGAGAGAGAGAGAGAGAGAGAGAGAGAGAGAGAGAGAGAGAGGAAGAGAGAGAAAGAGAAAGAAAGACATTGAGCGAAAGACAGTGAGTTGGCCATTTGTACCGGAAAGTGCGCGGACCACCGCCGAAAGTGCAGTGTAAAGAAAATATATATTGAGAGGGAGGGAGAGGGGGGGAGAGAGAGAGAGAGAGAGAATAAAAGTAGAAGGTAACGGTGCGGCTAGAGAGAGAGAGAGAGAGAGAGAGAGTGAACGAAAAAGGGAGGGAGAGAGAACGTTTGCGAACGTGAGAATGAGAGGGAGAGAATGAACGAGTGAGAGGGGGGGAGAGAGAGAGAGAGAAAAGAACGAGAGAGCCGCGAGCAACGAACGCGACTATAACGCGACGCGCGCGTCCTACGATCCGCAAAAATTGTACATGTATGAGCGAAGACGACACGGCGGTGAGGCAGCGACAAGGAGGTAGCGAGATCTCGGGCAAAAATAATGTCTAGTACCGCGGATTCGCATTCCAGATACTTGAAAGAATTCCGCGTCGAGCAATGTCCCCTCTTCATACAACGCAAATGCACGCAGCACAGACCCTTCACGTGCTTCAACTGGCACTTTATGAACCAGCGGAGGCGCAGACCGGTGAGAAAGAGGGACCGCACCTTCAACTACAGCGCCGACAATTATTGCACCAAATATGACGAGACCACTGGCATCTGCCCCGATGGGGACGAGTAAGTTTTACTTTATTACAATTGTGCCATTTTTTTCTTCTTGTCATACTATACATGTGGCGTTGTTCGTGTAGATACAGAGTGAATGGATAACGTCTATTACACATATATGTGTATATCGAAGAGCAGTAAGATGAAACAGAAGTTCGCGATATTGTTGCTACTCAAAAAAACTGACGTTTACTCTCTCGCCGGTGTAGATACGGTGCCGTAACGTGCGTTGGTGCGTATGTGCGCGCGCGTGCAAAATGGCACGCTCGTCTCTCGCCTCTCGTTTACGGCGCATCGATAAGCGATGGATGCGACATACCGACATACGACATACATACATACATACATACATACATACATATATATACGTGTCGTACGCGCGACATATGTACACGTAACGTGCGTTACTATCGTGGCGTACGTGGCTCGCGTGCGCATATGTGTATTTACGTTTTACCGCGCTCGCGGCTGTCATCCCCCGCAAAGAAATCATTGTTACTTGAGACTTGAACGGGGACAAGAGCAAAAGAAAAAAGAAAAAATTAAAATTGTCCCGCGAAATTGCGTATCGCGTGATATTCGCACCTGCATGACCACTAATCTACCTAAACTAATTAAAGATATATTCAGCTGTAGCTCTTCGCGTGCGCGCTTTAGCCTAATTGTAAGTGCTGCGAACTTAAAGCGGTTACACCTTTCTCTCGTATCGAATTCCAAAGATTTTGCGTAGAGAGCCTTGCCGCGCGCTAAATTATACAAAACGCTTCTCAGAACCGGGACTTGGAAGGACATTCCTCATGAGCTCGGTTACGAAAGATCGGAAATCGAGGTTAGAGAGAGAGAGAGAGAGAGAAGAAAAACAAGAAAGAGACGCACTTTGTTCGCACGGCGTCATTTTGCGATGGTCGTTGACACGTACGTGGCGTAACGCATACGCGTAATTTTTGCATTTGTCCGCTAAAATGCAACGTGACATCTCGCGATGCTTTAGTCGATAAAACCATGCTTTCGATGGAATCCTTTTAACAATACGATTTACGCAATGATATATAATCATTATATATATATATATAAAATTTGTTTTTCCAAGAACCTGCTTTTTTTCTCTTTCTTAGTTTCAAGGTAGAAAAACGATTTCTTTTAGATGTTAAAAAACCTTGATTTTCGCGATATCAGTTTTACATAATCATATGTTTGCTGCGAACAATGAAATTACATTATTACTTGTGCATAAATTAACATCCCACGGTATCTCTCGTTTCAACGTTTGCAACTTTATTTCGACAGCGTCAACACATCAATGTACGCGATACAGCGGGGATACACTCGGGATACATATTTGCATAATAAATGTACGCGGATATTTATATCCAACAACATTAGACAAATTACACGAGTCACGAATAAATCATCTCTACGAAAAACAAAATAAATGACTTTCTTTCGAGTCTTATTTAAAAAAATTAAAATTTTTTGCCCTGCTTGTCATAACACATATGCATTAGTTTCTTTATTTATATTTATAGTTTGCATATATGCGTACATTTTTTATCAACGTAATAATATTTTTGTGAATAGTTGCAAAAAAGATTACGTTTAATTGTAGTATCTTGTTTGTAAAAGAGATAAAAGTAATTTCAATTTTTTACTCAAAAAACATTATAGCATTATAGCGCGAAATTTGAACGATAGTTCACAGACACCCTGTAAATTGGCGATTAAATTGTTTTATTGCGTTCGATAGATGTACATAAAGCAATTTTTATCGAACGATCGCGAACATATGATAAACTCTCCAAAATTCCCAGCGTTACGAATTGTCGAACAAAGGAGCTTGGCTCTTATCGATTTTCCCTTGCGTACTCGGCACGATGGCACAACAAAGAATCGTAGCATGTATCCAAATCTTATTCGAATATACGTCGTAAATTAATCGACACGTCACAATTTTACTCGTCATTCCGCTAAAAATCTTTTTAGCCATACAATATATAGATGCCATTATAGATGCATTATAATAGCAATAAAATACTAATTCAATTTCTCACTGCTTATTTGAAACAACAAAAAGAAATTTGCCCCAAAATAACAATTCAGAATTAAAACTTTTCTTACGTTAGCATTGTATAATATTTATTTGTTTCGCTTATTTACTTATTATGATGAAAAAATAATTCTTTGAAAAAAAAAAAATATACGCACAATTACAAATTAGAAGTAATTTACATAGTAAAAAATACGATAATTAATAGTGAATAATACATGAATAATGAATACATATTATAGAAAATATAATTAGAAATTGGCGAAACTGGTGCGGGAGGTTAAGATATAAATTTAAAAAGACACACACATTTAAACTTGTATGCGGAAACGGAAAATGTCAATAACTTAAAAACAGGCTAAATATTATATGAGGAACAAATAAGATGGATAGATATAGATAGTAACCGCTTTAAATAAATTAAGTAATATTAAATAAAAACGAAAAAAAAATATAGAGATGCATATTAAAATCAATTATTCGAAAAATGCAAGACCAGTAACTGTATGTGGGTTAATTTAAGCATTAATATAATTTAGAAGAAAGTAATATGTGGAAAGAAAAGTAAACGTAATATTTGACTACAGTTCAGTTTGATGAAAATCATAAAATGTTATCTCGTTGTTAAACAGGTGTCCATTTTTGCATCGTACCGCGGGTGATACAGAGAGACGTTATCATCTACGTTACTACAAGACATGCATGTGTGTCCACGACACCGACACGCGTGGATTTTGCGTGAAAA